CTCACCCTAGGACACCTGTGTTACAGTTTGGCAGGTGTACTGCGCCAGTCAACCCTACCCCGCCACCCCGCCTCAGCACTCTCCCTGAAGCAGATTATACCTAGCCTGTGCTGAGCCCTCAGGACCAGAAGGCATCCTTACATTTACTGGGAATTCCGATTTAGAGATGTCCAGTCATAATCTTACAGATGGTAGCTTCGCCCCACTGACCGCTCAGCAAGCACATCCTCCAAGAGTCTGAATCTGCAGTTCTTTTTGCACGGAGCAGGACTGCTATCCCAACGCCATATCCTCAGCAGGGTAAGCCTAAACTGTCCCATCATGGTCCAAAGCCAACTCAAGTCCCCTGTTACTGGGTGAACGACCCAATGATGGGTGAATTCTGCCTCACTGCAATAGGAAGGATGCAGACGGTTCAGAAAGTGGCACGGCTAAGTCAGCAGCCAGAAGTTTGACTGCCACTGCTCACTGGCCCTGGGTGTGCAGTTTTGAGCCATGAGCACATGAAGCCACTGACTGTCACCGCCAAGAGACAGCAGCACTTGTCCCAGCACAGTCCCTGGCCAGAGACGGCATGATTAGGGTGTGTGACTGGGACATGGCAGATCCAGGTTCTAGCGCCCATGCGGCCGTGAAGCCCACTGTGTGGATGGCTTTAGCACAATCTCAGATTCTCAGCCTAACCTCCCTCACAAGCCTGTTGTGGAAAAACAAGGGTAGTGAGGAGGAGGAGGAGGAGGATTATGTAAACCACCTTAGGTCCCTTGCAAGAGAAAAGGCAAGAGTATAATGTAATATCTGTAACAAGAGTGGACTAACTTGAAATTCTTACACTGGGATCCTTACAGCTCCTCAACCACTTCTAGAGTGCTCCAGATTTCACATTCTCATGGCAACAAATGTGCCTGTTGGGTAATCTTTCATCAGCGGGAACACCGATCCTTCCAGAGCAATTTTCCTGAGCAAGTCGCACAGCAGGTGCAAACATTCGCCACCAATCTTGCCCTTGAGTATGAGTACATTATGATGGCTGATGCACACCAAAGGCACATGGTAAACAGTGAAGAAAAAACTAGGCCAAGACAACACATGCAATCATTCAGGGGTGGGGTGGGCAGCCCAGAAAGACTATCCTCTAAGAATATCCTCAGCGGGAGGGAAAAACCCGGAAAATACACTCTGAAATGTTGCTTGCACAACAGCCAGAAAAAAATAAAGTAGAAGGCACTGTGTTCTACCCTTCATGGCACAATCCTTAGGCTATGAAATTCCCTTTAAGTGGAGGATAAAAAGGACGGTTCTTGGGATCATGCTATAGAATATGCCAAGGTCTGTTCTTCACAGAACCCGTGTGGGACTTCCAAGACCACAGAGAATAAATTTGGAAAAAACCAAAATGTGTAACGGATCCCAATTTAAGGAGTGGGTGGCAAAAGATAGGCCACTACACCATTGGTTCATGTTTCTCAACATTGCCTCCCCTGCCTGATGGTGGCTTTCACAAGACTGCCCACCCCATCACCTGTGATGGTCTGGATCCGGGCCTTTTCAGGTGCAAAGGGCATGCTGGATCAACATGCCATGGTCCCTCCCAAAAGGTCAACCGCCTTACACCAACAGCAGCTCCAGAAAACCAAGCTGAAGCTCTGGTACAAACCCTCGTCCCAGCGTTCCTCCAAAAGGCGCTCTGTATTCCACTCAGCCTCATACCTCAGAGTCACACAACCGCCACGCTCATCAGGAAAAATGGCACAGGAAAGAAATACACACACCCGATCAGCCAACTCACTCCCATCTTTTCCCAGGATGGCCCACTGAGGTGGGATTCAGACTATCCTGTGTGAGCTAATGAATGCCTTAACTGCAGAGGGACATTTAGTAACATGAATTTTCTGCGGAGAACCTGTCAAAGCAGACGTGAGTTTGCCGCTAGAAAAAAACAAACAGAAGAGAGAAAGAAGGAAAGCACCAGAGCATTCATTCACCTTTTGCTGGTGGGATTTCTGCCTCCTGATGTCTAAAGTCATCCCAGTCTTTGCCAGGGAAGGGGTGGGGGCTTCTTTTCAGAATCCAAGCCCACCCCCCCAAAGACGATCCTCTTTTCTGCCTTGTTTGCCTCCCTGTTCATATAAGTCCTGGCAGTCTTGGAATACTGCATACATAGAGTATTCTGCAAGTCCAGTCTTCAGAGGAAAAGCATACAGAAAACTGCTCCATTATTTTTCGAAGAGAGGACAGAAGATGCCGATCTGGATTTTTGATCAGCACTCTGAAAAAAGCTTATCCTGAAGGACAGTCCATACATAAACAGCATCTGTGTGCCTGAGAGTTCTCACTCGGATGTTCCTATCAGGCAAATCACTGACACTTTGTACCCACTAGGGGGCATTTCCCAGCTGTGTTCACACTTCTTGAACAATCTGGCTGTCATTTTAAACATAATGACGTGGCTGAAGCTAGATGCCAGAAAGATTCCTGTTTTTAAAATCCCTGTCTGGGGACATGCCCTGATAGCAACACATGAAAGAGAATATAAGCATGGAAAGGAACTATTTAGGGGCAATTATTTATCCAAAGAAGATAGATGGAGAAAGAAGAAGAGGACGGCAGAGGATGAGGTGGATCGATGGAGTCACGGAAGCAGTCAGCGTGAGCTTGGGTGGACTCCGGGGGATGGTGGAGGGCAGGAAGGCCTGGAGGAGTGTTGCCCATGGGGTCGCGATGGGTTGGGCATGACTTCATGACTAGCAACAACAAATTTATCCAAAAGGGATAAATTGGCTTGTTTTAAAGTTTATGTAGGGTATATCTTCAGTTAAAGCATTTTTCTTAATTTAGAAGGGAATGCATAAAGCATTCTATTCTGAAAAAATGTGGCACAGGTTAAAAGCAAGCAAATTATACTTCAGAATGAGTTTGCTATTTTTATCTGTAGAATATTATTTTATGTTCCACTTTCTCAAAGTCTTCGAGACAGCTAACAGGGTGGTCCAACTTTTCATAACCTTGAAAGCCACATGAAGATTTTGACAAAGAACCCAGAGGCCATGCAATGAATTTTATTTCCATAGCATAAATTAATGTGTTTCCAATACGTTTATTTAATTTACACAATTAATGTATTTATTTAACCAATAAATGAAGGGAAATTAATTTTAACATGGTTTGAGGACCAACTGAATGACAAATAATGCTTTGTGGTCTTGTGATCTCGGCAGAGATCATGGGCAACACCTTCTCCGACCACAGTCCAAGCACAATGACCACTCCTCCGGGGCGGCCCGTCCCTTTCTTTCTCCATTCTCCCACCCAGAAGTCCTTTCATGTGACCCCCCCCCCAGCTCCTCCTTCCCTTCTGGAATTGGTGCATTGAGCTCAGGAATCCTGTACATGAGCTGACAAACTCCCCCAGCATGCCCCACCTGCTCCTGCTGACCATCACACAGGGGCTCATCACAATCACGCCCATGCCATTGCTGGAATCTGGACAGGAAGGGAATTGGGGGGGGGGGCTCTGAGCAGCAAGAGGGCTGCAGAAAGGCCTTGGGGGCTGCATGCAAACTGCAGGTCACTCCCTTAGAAGATCTGGGAGTCAAGACAACCACAATGAACTGAAAAATCTCAAACTGCAGTTCAGGCTCCAGGGAACATATACACTCCCTGAGAAAGGAATGAAAGAGGGAGGTCTTGAGTTCGCTGCAGCCTCACTGACAAATTGTCCTGGAATACCAAAACTTCAGATCAGTAAGAATGCTGTACAGAAGGACCAAAATGAACTGGAATTAAGTTGAAAAAAATCACCATGGCTGATGTAATAGGAAGCGAAAATTGGGCTTACACCTTTAGCAAGTCTACCCTGTGGAAAGATTTCCCCCTCGCTATCAGACACCAAGAGTGAAGCGACATCTGTCCCTAAGCCACTCCAAGAGACGTCTTCCTCAGCCCCCAACTATCTCTCCAGTCCACCTGATGACATCACACCTCCAGCTCTGACAGCAGCAAAATCCCCTTGGGGTCTCCAATGGATGAAGCTGTTTAAAAACAAGGCCATCAGACCAAACGCAGAATGCCATCATGTGGCATGATGTGGCCCGCAGCCTTGCCCTCTGAGCTGCGGGCCACGGACGGTCCCCAGAACAAAACCCCAAGCACAGCAGACGTCACAGAATGGAAGCCCAGGACATCCAAGTCATCGCGCAGGCAAGAGCAGGACGCTCCAAGCCAGGAATACAGGAAGCCACCCTCCACAGGGACCGGGGTCCACCTAGCCCAGTATGGTCGCTTTCCCGGTTTCCGGGCAGGACTTTCTTGCAGCCCTGCCCAAGAGGCCAGGGAACACCCCTGGATCTCCGCCACGTACAGCGGGGGCTGTCGCTGGGCCACAGCCCCTCCAGCAAAGCAGGGGCCAGATGGACACCGCCCCATTCCCCAGGATGGCTCACCAGGCGAGGAGGCTGATGAACCAGATGGGGCAGGTCAAGCAAGCAAAGAACCCAGCTGCTCAGTGGGAAGCTAGGGGGGTCCAGGGGCAAGAACAGTGAGAGACAGGCAGGCCGCGTAACCCAGGAGACTAGAGAGCCAGGGGGCCCTTGGGCTACTGGGAATGGCAACAATGCTCATGACAAACGTTTAAGAAACGTGCCCGTAGTGGAAAGGATGGAGCAATCCGATGGAAACCCTGCACCAAGCTCCCAGCAGGCTTGCTCAGTTCTCCGCGCAGCAGGTGGAGCCCACAAGTCCAGCCTAAAGAGCAAGACGCTGACACCGTTGGTCCTTCAGCTCAGCCTGCTTGTTGACTGCAATTATATGGTGCTCCTCCGATGAATCACATTGGAATATTTCTCGGAATTATTTGTGTGTGTGGGGGGGGGGGTGCAGTCATAGTCCCTCAAGCAACACCTCTTGATTAAGCTGCCTTTTGCTACCATTCACAAGTTCAAGCCAATCATGCAACCATCACACAAAAGGAAGAAGTTAGAAGAATTTAAAGGGCCACTCACCTGTCTGAACGTCGATGACCATTTGATGACCACCTCTCATTCCAGGCCTGCTGTCCTCACCATCACCTTATGTTTTTAAAGAAGAAACAAAATCCTAATTATTACATTGGTTTTTAAGATGTTTCACTGCATTCAAGAAGCCTCAGCTTACAACAGTCACATACTTTTATTATGGGAATTACAAAACATCAGAAGAAACCATAAAAGGAAGAGAGCTAGCCAACTAGGCACACTGCCTAGACGGTTAAACTCAGTTCCTGGTCGGACGTAAAGCTCATCGGATGACTTTGCTAACCTAGATTCAACTCTCACACCAGTCGCTGGAGGGATAAAATGGGGCGCTTATGCCTGCCCCCCGCACACCATGAAGAAAGGGTGGGAGAATCATTCTGTGTACAGATTTATTCATTCCATCTGTTCCAGCATGAGACAGGCACACTCTCCTCCTCTGAAAGCAAAATTAGAGGAAGCCTTAGAGCCAAGGCCTAATGTATCTCTCTGGGTCCATTAGAGTGATGAGCACACAGTGCAATTTCAGGAAATTGTAAAGACCTAGTGCAGAGGTGGTTTGGTTGCAAAGACTGTGGGCTCATTTGTAGTTCCGAATGCACCTCACATTGGTGGGGGGGGTGCTTTGCTATTTTATGTAATATTATTTTTTTACAGTGGAGATATTTTGGGGCTTTCAAATGTTCTTAACAGCATTTGTGCCCTTGCTCAGCTCTTACTCAATTAAAGCTAGGGACAGAGGGGCAGATCACTAGTACGCCCGATAAGAATTACTCCCCATTCCAATTCAGAGAAGACTGAAAAATCAGGACCCATTCAGCACACAGCAGTAACCTAATTCGCTCGATATTACTTTTCCTCCAAAACAGCATCACAGTGAAAGGTTTATTAACAAAGGCGCTGCGACGTTATTTATCCATCACCTTTCCATCTTAAAAGGTGCCCAAGGCAGCGTATTCTTTTCCCAAATAAACTAAAAAGATAGACAGCTATAATTCAGTGTCAGCACATGCTCTGCAGGCAGACGGTCCATGACGGTGCTGTTTAAAGGCCCCTCGACAGGGCTACCCGAAACCCCGGCGAGACGCTGCCTGTTGGCTGGCAGCATTGTGCTAAACTGAGCGATGCTGCAAAGCAAAGGGACGGGTCTCTCTAGGCGAAGCATCCCAGCAGGACACTGAGCCGTGGGCTCTCTCAAGATGTCCCCGCATGCAAGGAGAGCTCCGGAAGCAAGGCTGTATAGGCGGAGATCTTCCCCGAGGCCAGGGCGTTTTAGACTTTTCAAGGCAGAGCTCGTTTCGTGCTCCTATGGCCAACCCTGACAGGATTCAGGCTGCCATATTATGCGCTACCTGAGGCCTTCAGGAAGGTTTCAGGCAACAGAAACTGTTCCTCACTTAATGGAGCTGTCTCACCTTTGCTGCTTTTGGGGATGATCTGACCCCATCGGGGTTTGTATTCCTGCTGGCTGATGTACTGATTGAACAACCCATCTGTTTAAAAACACACAAAAGAAACAGTTAGGAGCGGCAGCCACCTCATTGCTTCCAAATGTTAAAAGAACACTTTGAATACCATCTCTCGAAAAAGAGGGGGGGGGGGAAAACCCTAGCATTATGCAAAAATAAAGCCACCTTGAGTAACTGATAGAAAAGCAGTGTAGAAATGCTAGAAACAAATAAAAATTATAGCCATTTATTTATGTATTTATAGATAGATAGATAGATAGATAGATAGATATATTGCGATTTACATCCTGCCTTTCCCCTACAAAGGGCTCAAGGCAGCTTACATCATTCTCCTCCTCCATCTTATCTCCACAACAACAACGCTGTGAGGTAGGTTGGGCTGAGAGTCTGTGACTGGCCCAGAGTCACCCAGTTGGTTCCATGGCTGAGCGGGGACTAGAATCCAGGTCGTCTGAGTCCCAGTCCCATGCTCTTAACCACTGCACCACACTGGCTTTCATTTGCTAAGTAGTATTATATGGCAAAAATAGAACCATTTACATGACATTATTCTAAGGCAAGACAAAACCCATGTAGGTTATCATGTAGGATCTGCAGAGAAGGGCAGCACCCCCTGCTGGTCTAATAGAGAAGCCCACCAGCTCTGTGGGAGGGGGGCCTGAACATCTTCCATACTGCCATTTTCCCCTATGCCTTTCAACTTATCGGCAATTCCATTCCCCCAATTTTATCAACTGAGGTTTCTCAGCACTGCTGCTGAATAGGAGAAAATGGCTATGGGAGAAGTTCACCAGGGCTTCCCACACGGCTGGTTCCCCGGACACTCAAGAAATGCTGTGGGTTTGAGGCTTCAATGGCAAAAGCCACAGAGTCCATTTCTAGAATGTTCTCCTTGAAGGTGTTCCTGGAGGCCGGGGGGGTGGGGGCAATGAAACAGACTGGGTGGCCCGGGGATCATATTTTTGCACCATGGTACTTTTTGCATCCCTGAACAAATAAGCAAAGCTGGGTTTAAACGCTTCCAAGGGAAAGGAATTCCAAAGTTTTTACTCTTACTGGTAATTCCTTTGACACTCTTTGGAACTCTCTGTTTTGGTCCATTATTGGAATTCCTTTCTCAGTTTTTACACCACTTCAGCCCTTTTGATCCATCAATTAAATAGTACCTTCAGAGCTTATCTAATACAGACAGTTGTCAGAAAGGGGTCTTTGCTTGCAAGAAAGCCACATTTCATCTCTATTTTTCATGTGGGATGGTCAGCAATGGAATTATGACATGAAAAGGGAACATCCTGTAAGATCTTTATGGAAGCCTTGTCTGTGCTGCCGTTCTCACGAAAAAGCAGCCCTTAAAAATCATTGTGAAAGGCATAATAGAACAAAATGTTGGAAACAAAGGGGGGCACAAGATGCAGAAGGCCAAAGTTGTGGCTTCATCGGCCAAGGGGCAGAGGTAACGCAACCCCACATTTCCTTTTGTACGGGTGGATACTATTGTGGGAGTCCGGAGAAACACAGAAGCAGTGAGAAAAGATGTCCGCATGCACCACTGAACAGTCCCGGAGGACGGCTGCGAGCTTCCCCAACTTGAATGAGGCCAGCTGGATCTTGTACTCTTCGGGAGAATGAGCCAGAAAGCTTGTGCCCTTTGCGTCTGCGGAGAAGCTCCCTGTTGACTCCTTCAAGTGGCGCACAGCACAGAACTTTTATAGGGGCTGGAATCCTGCAATGACTCGTGGCACATACGATTCTCGCTTCCGCCCCCGCTGTGTTTGTCTCTTCCTTCTAGCCCAGCTTCTCTTGCATGGGGACACTGACCTGGAGTTCTTCCAGGCTTCTTCCCAGAAACGGCTCTCTGTTGGCAGCAGTACTACTTTCATTCCCCTTGTGTTACAAACCAACAAAGGCTTGTTTTGAAAGCTGACCTACCAGTGAGCTAACTTTGGCGGGTGGGGTGGGGAGGAAGAACTGGTTGAAATTTGTAAAAAAAAAGAAAAAAAAGGACCCGGCCTCCCTCTCTGCGTCCCTGGTCCTTTTTGCCAAGGTAGCCAAAATGCTCAAGGAGGACGTCCCGAGGACACCCTGCATGGCACACTGCACGGAGCCGTTAGGTCGGATCAGACACCGATTCTGCAGTTTAGAACAAAGCTTTCCAGTGAACTTTAGAAACCATTCCCGCCCACACTGACGACGACACTTCTGCAAAGCCATCCTGAGCATCAGGGCAGGAGAGGCCACAACTCAAGGCAAGCAGCAGCTGGGTTTTCCAGTGCTCATCAAGCTGGAACATCTGTACTATTGCCCAAGCTCTTGCCGGGAGGCCAACACAAAAACAGTCCCTATGGAACTCACAGCGATCCTGCAGAAACATTGTTTTCTGACTTGAAGGCTGAGTCCAATCCACCAGAACGTCACACTCATTTTCGCAGGGTGCCTTTCCTGTCTTGCTTTAATTAGGGGAATGAGAGGCAGCAAACAGAGTTGGATGACCATGGGGACCCCATAAATTGAGAATCTGCAGGTATTTCGGGATGCATCCTGAAGTGAAGAGGGAAGGAAAGGGTTTGATACTCCCGACAATGATCTACAATTGGGTCAGAACCAAGCTTGAAGTGGGCTTCACCTTGGCTGACATTGTCACTGTTTTTAAGTGTTAAAAAAGAGAATGTGCAAAACAAAGCCCCAAATAAGGCAAATATGGACAGATTGCTTTGGGTTCAAGGCGGGCTCCAGCTTTTAAATACTGGCCATTCCCAAAATGGATCATCAGACTCAGCAGCTTATAGAATGCTGTATAATAAGCCTGCAAAAGAGAGAAACTGGGAAAAATGCTCTGGAAAGATATGAGCTATTTCCTTATCACAGCTTCTAGGGAATAAAAGACAGACCGTCCAAGTCACATGTTGCTTACTTGCAGTTTTTACACAACACACACAAACAGAGCTATATAATATATTTTCTATAGATGCAGCATTTGCCTTTCAGTTCCAAAGAGTTTTCATTTTCAGGTTTTTTTTTTTTAAAGCAGCAGCTTTGGTGGCTGCTAATTCAGCATTTCATAATGGAGTACCACTTTTATAAACTTGGCACAGAGAGAATCAGAAGCAGATGTTTGGTGGACTCAAAGAGAACGGGCCACTGCAGAGTGCAAAATGGCTCGAAGCCAGCGCTCACAACGGTCCCACCGCACTCCACCGAGGCCCGCAAACACAGAAGCAGGATTCGCGAGCAGGAAAGGAACAAAGGGGAAGATAGAGAGCTTGGGACGAAGCTGCAAGGCAAGCCAGCAGGAAATGGACACACCTCCCCAGGCGCCCTCCACCCGAAGACGGGTTCAGGTGAGAGCGGGCCTCCCTCTACTGGACACGCGCACTGGCCGAGGTGAGGCCGAAGGGAGAGGAGACTGCAGTTCTTCCCGTGTGTTGAGACCAGCTCCGTGACCTGCTGAATTACTGCCCACTGGACTTGCAACCAAGGGAGAGGCTTCCAAGTTTGCCTTTTCCTTCTTTCTTTTGTAGCGTGGCCAGCTAGATGGTAAGCCCCAGGGCAGAGACCAATGTATTTCTGACCTTTGGAAGCTTTCTTCAACTGAAGAGCAAGAGAAAGATGCTTTTATTCAATGGCATAGGAGAACAAGGCAGCCCTTCCACCCCCCTTGTAAGAAAGGAGGCCAAGGAAGAAAGTGCTGAGAAAGAACTGGGCAGCAGCTTTCTCCTTCTGCCCAGCTGAGGTCAAAGGGACTCGAGGCTTCCGTGCACACACGCGCGTGGGAGAACCAGCCGAGGGTTCCAAATCCCTCGTGCCTGCGCTCCTTGGTGGAGGGTTGAGAGCAGCCACTGCAGGTGCGCCACAGAGGCTCCCGTGAGGTTCTGCAATCCAGCAGCAGCTGCGCAGCAATTCTGTGAGGATGCAAAACCTGCTACAGGGCAGGCAGGGACTCCTGATTCTTGAATCTGACCGGACTAATTTGCTTTACAGCTGTGAACGTATTCTTGGAAGTGTGAGTGCAAGGTCTGCTCAAATCCCCAAAGCCAGAGACGAGGCTAATCAAGTTCCTGTTGGAAAGGGATGGCTTAATGCAAGACAGAGCTCCTTGAAACTCTGTACGAGGCCTAGATCAGGATACTGCGTGATAGTAAAGGCTGAGGAGTTATGATAGATAGACAGACAGACCGACCGACCGACCACCACCAGAACTGCCTCCTCGTCTCCTCCTTGCACTGGAAACACCAGTAATGTTGCAGCAGAGCTGTGCAGTTCTCACGCAGAAACACTTTACAACCTCATGTTATCCAAGCCCATGCCTGAAGTGAACCACTAGGCATATCTTGCACACAGGGAAAAGAAACTTGGTTGCTACAAGCAGTTCCCGCAGAGAAGCTAATTCAGAAGAGGAGCCAATTTCCAAACCTGACTGCTATTAAAGATCCTGCTATTAAAGATCCACTTCCAAATTGGCTCTACCACAAACTGCACATTCAAGCTGCATTCCATCACACCAATTTCCTCGCATCTTCTCACCTCTTTAAGGTACCAAAACTCAAGCCTACCACGGCTGACCCTTCTGGCTCATGCTGCCAGTTCAGAATGAACGCACGTGCGTGTGCACATGCACACACGCACAGACACAAATTCATGTGCACAGTAACCTGCTCTCCAAATATACAAATTCCATAGACGAGACTGTATTTGCATCCCACCACCGTGCCTTTCCAAAGGTGCAGCTTCAGACCCCCTCTTCCATCCACTTTGATCTCCTGGCTCAGTAAGTCAGACCCCTGATCACTCAAGTCCCCCAGTGCCAAGCTAGAGGAGAAAAGATGCTGCACACATCTGCCACTGCACAGGATGTATCAATTCACACCAAGCTTTGGCATCTTGCGTGTGCCATCACAAAGGCAAGCGCATGTCACGGACGGACTGGCTGTCAGCCTTGGCCTCTCTTAAGTCTCTATAAACCACCCTTTAGGGAATGGACCTCACAGGATGGCATAAACAAGACACACTGAAGTAGTTCAAATCCT